TACCCTAGTCCTGATTTAGGTATTAAGTCATCTTGGGGATGGGAACCTTTTTTAGGCTGGTGTTTTGTTGTTATCCCCATCCTTTCCTTTCCCAGATCTAAACTGGATGAACTAATCTTCCCATATTCAGGTTCACATCTGGCCCATTTCTACACCTTTCAGTGCTGAAGCAGAATTGAGTAGGGGATGGCTGTGTTGGCCTCCAGTGTTGTGCTCCAGCTTACCTGCTCCACCCCGTAATGCATCTACTGAGGCAAAGTCCCCTAGTCCAAAGATCTCCCTACTCCCTTTCATGTGCCATAGTTTGCTTTTGCCTTAGTTCCTATTCCATTCTTATTTCAGCATCATCTCTAGTCCAGACCCCATCCCTACTCAAGGTGTAGTGCTTTGGCCAGCCCCTGTCCTTGACCAAGTAGCCCAGTCCAGGAGGTATCTTTCTGCCTTGGACAAGATTCTCCAATGCCAGCTGTGTCTCTGGAGTTTATAATCCATCAGTTGGATTTCTCCTTTATGTGCTCCACCCTCTTGTTGGACACCTGCTGTGTTATCTTGGACGTAGGGTACCAGTTACTTGTAGTTAGTGGTGAGATGGCATGTTTACTGAGTAACTTCTAACTACTTAAAATAGTGAAAGAAGAGAATGTCTCAGATCTCTGTCGTTATCCTGTTTCCTGATTCATGTGCCCTTTTCCCCTTATGTCTCCTGAGGGTTTTTCTGAGGACTTTGCCTGCTGTCTCATGTCTAGTAGAACGTAGATGAATAGTTGCTGCCCTATCTGTGACTCTGACCTGATGGTTTTAGTTGCATTAGCTCCTTTCTGCTCAACCTGAACCCTTTTTCCAGCCTGGCTTCTTAAAGCAGGAGAGAACTGCACAATACCCACTTTCTTCAGTCTACCCATTCCCACCTTTAAGTTCCCTAACTTAGGTTTCTGGAACACCTTCTCTGCCACCTTCTGAATTTGTTAAACCCTCTTGCCATTTTGTGAGGCTCTCCTTTGCCCCACCTCTGGAATTCTGCCCATGTGAAAGGTTTCAGGACAATCCTGGATTGAGTGAGAGGTTACCCTATAACCTTTATGATCTCATTCAGTTCTTACGTGTATATTTCTATGGCACCCACTCCCCAACCTCTTTCTGTCACTGTAGTAGTGTAAGAGCATGATCTCTAGGGCCACATGGTCTGGGTTGGAATTCTGTCTTGGAATACCTCTGTGATTTTGGGCAAATAACTTAATCTCTCAGTGCCTTAGTTTTCTCATCAGGAATGCAAGGATTAAATGAGTCAATACATGCAAAGTGCTTAGAAGCATGCCTGGCACATGCCCAATAAATGTTTGGTCTTGTTATGAAGCCTGAAACCCACAGGACTTTGCACTGCACCCACCTGTGCTCTAGTCTCTGTGTTTCAGATAGTCTGTGGTCCTAACAGCAGTAATAAAGCACTGTTTTAATCACTTTATACATGTTATTAACTTGCTTTTATGTAGGGGGTTGTTACTATCTCCATTTCCATATGAGAAAACTGGGGTAAAGTAACTTGTATAAAGTCACAATAAGTGATTAGCACTGACTTAAACTCACATCTTCCATGCCATATCAATTCATAGTATATTCTGTATGCTATACATAGTCCTGATTTTGCTACTAACTAGCTTTGTGTCTTTAGGCAAATCATTTCCTCTGTAGACCTCAGGGACTGAGTTGGCTATACCAAGAAGCATCTTGGGGGGAAGAAATGAGTGTTGAAGGAGAGTATGCATAATTTTTGAGATTCTGGGATTCTAGGCCGTATTATAGAGGTTATGTATGGAAAACCCAAAATGTATTCTTGGGGGAAAGAATTGGAAACTAATATACTAACTATGCTAAGTACTATCTATATGAAATCTTATTTAAATTCCACAATAACCCTTTGAAATAAATATTATCACCCTATATCATAAATGAGGACACTAAGGCTAAAGGCAGTAAGTGATTTCCCTAAGCTCATATTGTAAGTTGGAGGACAGACTTTAAACCCATTTTGTTTGACTCCACAGCCTGTGTACTGGATATTACTCAATGCTACCTTAGGGTTTTGAAAGACTACATGGAGCCTGCTGGTTGATGTCTCACCCCTGAACTGTTTGCTGACTTTTAATTCTTTAATAAACTAAATACAGGTATACACAGGCCCAAGTGAGCATTTCTTCTTTGCAGCTCTCAGCAGTCAGTGGCACCACAAGCACCTTGAACCTATTACCTTCACAGGAAACATAGGCCTCACTAAAAGCCTGTTTTATACAAAGTCCTCAGAAAAATAGCCCTTAGATAAGGCTTAGAGTCTTCTGGGCTTCATGGTAACAGATTAATTTCTTTACTTGCGTATCTTTTTCTTATGTCCTAGGTACTTTTAAATTCAATACTGAAGCTGCTGAATTCATTCCTCGGGAGGAAAAAAATTCTAGTCTAAATTGTGGGACTCAAAGGAGACTAGACTGTAATAGGATTGGTAGGAGAAATTACAGTTCACCACCTCCCTGTTACCTTTCCAGGCAAGTCCCTTATGATGACACCTCTGCTGTTCATCAGCACAGTTATCATCCTTCAGGAAGCAAACCTAAGAGTCAGCAAACTTCTCTCCAGTTCCCTGCTTCTAATAAATCACCCAAGAGCCACGGCCCTCAGAGCCAACCTTGGCAGAAATCGAGGAGTGAAAAGCACCAGACTAGATTCAAGAAGGCACAAGGTCTCACTGACCAGACCTCAGATACAGCTGGCTTAGAAAGCGTGGCCAAGTCAGAGAACGGGACAAACCCCAGAGAGCACAGCCCTTCTGAGAGTGAGAAGTACGCTGTTGGCGCAGATCCCAGGGGAGCAAAACCCAAAAAAGCAACCCAGTTTGTATGCAGTTATGGTAGAGGACCAAAAGTCAAGGGGAAACCCAAATGTGAATGGGGTAACAGGGTGACTTTGAAACCTGAGGATGCCAGACCTGAAAATACCAAACCTGGGGGAGTTATCCACCCTGACTCTTTGGATGCATCTTTTAGAAAAGGAGCGTTGGATGGGTATGGGGCCAGACGCAGCGAGCAGAGAAGATATCCACAGAAAAGGCCTCCCTGGGAAGTGGAGGGTGCCAGGCCAAGACCAGGCAGGAATCCACCAAAACAGGAGGACCAACGACATGCAAATACAGGACTCAGAAACACAGCACCCATTCTAAAGGATAATCTCAATGAAAGACCAGCAAAATCTACCTGTGACAACGGACACGTGGCCATCGTCAGCAAGCCTTCCAGGAGGATTGACCCAGAAAAACGCTCTGTAAGGAGGCAGGATCCTCTAGGAGCATCTCCTTTCCACCGAGGCAAACAGAACCATGTGCTAAAAAATGTGGAAACACACACAGGTAAACTGACCTAGATGGGCGGAGATTTTTTGTTTTGTTTTTTAATTTTAAGTTTTGAGTAGGGGATATATTGACACAGCCTAGAAACCAGGGAGTATAAAAAGGTACACACTATAAAAAATTTCTTTCTATCCTCATTCACCATCTGCCTAGGTCTCACCACCACCCACCTACCCGCTCCCCTTCCAAATAGGTAACCACTCACTTAGTTTTTTATATGTCATAAGAAAATACAAATAGAGAATTTTGTGAGGGTTTTTAAAGAGATAGAAATGAGTGATATAAATGTCTGGTTATAAGATTTTTTTGAGTGGTGAAAACAGATAGGGGATAGTAATATCTCCCCTGCCACTGCTGATTCCAACGTACATCGTCTCTTTTTTTTTAAATTGTGATTTAGGTGAAAGTTTACAGAGCAAATTAGTTTCTCATAAGCAGTTAATCCACAGATTGTTTTGTGACATTGGTTGCCAACTCTGTGATGTGTCAACACTCTCCCCTTCTCCACCCCAGGTTTCCTATTTCCATTCATCCAGTTTTCTTGTCCCTTCCTGCTTTCTCATCTTTGCTTTTGGGTTGGTGTACCCATTAGTCTCCTTTACATGATTGAAATATGAAGTACGTCCCTCACGTGTGTTATTGTTGGCCCTATAGACCTGTCTAATCTTTGGCTGAAGGGTGAACCTCAGGAATGACTTCAGTACTGAGTTAATAGGGTGTCCGGGGGCCATACTGTCAGGGTTTCTCCAGTTTCTGTCAGACCAGTAAGTGTGGTCTTTTTTTTTTTTTTGGTGAGTTAGAATTTTGTTCTGTATTTTTCTCCAGCTCTGTCTGGGATGCTCTGTTGTGATCCCTGCAGAGCAGTCAGTGGTAGTAGCCTGGCACCATCTAGTTGTGCTGCACTCAGTCTGGTGGAGGCTGTGGTAGTTGTGGGCCATTAGTCCTTTGGACTGATCTTTCCCTTGTGTCTTTGGTCTTCTTCATTCTCCTTTGCTCTAGCCAGGATGGGACCAGTAGATGTATCTTACTTAGATGGCTGCTTGAAGGCTTTTAAGACCCTAGTCGCCACTCACCACGGTTGAATCCAGCCTACATCATCTCTTGTCTGCTCAGTTGCAGCAGCTCCTAACTCGTCTCATCATCCCTAATTTCTCTCTTTCATTTCATCTCTTATACCAGCATTCAGATCGTCTAAAGCACATATTGAACCATGTCACTCCGTGCTTGATCCCGTGTACTGGCTTCTCGTCACTTACAGATTCTGGCATCTGCCTTACTCTGCAATCCCATTTTCTGCTGTCTTAGTCCCCACCAAATTTTATTCCCAGGATTTCATGCGGTTTCCTTTTTCCATGCTGTTGCACATGTGGCTTCCCTGTCTAGAATGTCTACCACTCTGCACACTGGTGAATTCTAACTCACTTTTCAAAAGCTAGTTTAGTCCCATGTCCAGGGAACCTTTCCGACCTCCTCATAGAGTGTTAATCTCTCTCACCCTGTGGTATGTCTTTATCTTGCATATACATGCGTCTGTCATAGCACTTACCACTGGAAACCATAATTTGTTTACATGTTGGTGCACTCCACTAGCCTGGAAGCTCCTTGAACTCAGAGACTGTCGTCCTTTTCATTTTTGTATTCCTAGTGCCTAACACAACTCTTGGAACATAGTAGGTACTTAGCTCTGACTGTTGGAAAGCTCTTCCTTACATTGATCTGAAAACTTCTTTCATATAAATAATTTCTGTCCCTTGGTTCAAGTTCTGTCCTCTGGAGCAATATAGCAACTAGTCTCATTCCCCTCAACTTCCCTCCCCAACCCACCTCACACCCATTGCAGAGCAGCCCTTTGAAGTATCTGAAGACATCCTTCATGTGTATCTTCCATCTAGGCTAAATAGCATGATTCTTCTAGCTCTCCCAGCTCTCTCTGTGAAGCGTCACCATCCTGGTCTCCCTCCAGTCTAATGCGAGGTACAGCCTAACACATGAAGCTCCCACTTGCCCAGGGCCAGATTTTACATTGGCCTCTGGTTCTTCTAGTTATTTGGTTCACTAGACATTCCTTCTTCGTGGGACTTCAACTTGTGTGTGAGCCAAAGCAATGTTACCCCAGAGTTATTTTTTAATCCTTAAAAACCCATAACCCTTTGCTGTTGAGTCAGTTCTGACTCATAGTGACCCTATAGGACAGAGTAGAACTGCCCCATAGTATTTCCAAGGTTGTAAATCTTTACAGAAGCATACTGCCACATCTTTCTCCTGCAGAGCAACTGGTGGGTTCGAACTGCCAAACTTGTGGTTAGCAGCCCAGTGCTTAACCACTGGGCCACCAGTGCTCTTCCTTTTAATCCTTAAAGCTAGTTAGTCCTATACAGTAAAACCTGCAAAAGCCAGAACCTGTGTAAGGTGGAAACCTGTCAGTAGGAAAACTCAAATATTTTCCACTAAAACAAGTGATGAAAAAGTGGTAAGACTGCACCCTGTCAAAGGTGGAAAACTTGCAGGACCCGGAAAAACAAGGCAGTCCCATCAAGTTCTGGCTCTCACAGGTTTCACTGTATTAGTTTGCTATTGTGTAACAAATCACCACAAATATAATGGCATAACACAAAGTTATTATCTTGCAGTTTCCACAGGTAGGAAGTCTGGGTACAGGTAGCTGGGTTCTCTGCTCAGAGTCTCACAGGACTGAAATCAAGATTTCAGCCACGATTAGATCTCATCTGAGGTTCAGGACCCTCTTCCAAGCTCGCTGTTTGTTGGTAGAATTCAGTTCCTTGTGGGTGTAAGACTGAAGTCCCTGTTTTCTTGCTGGCTGTCAGTGGAGTTTGCTCTCAGGTCCTAGAGGCCACCTGTAGTTCCCTGATATGTGGCCCTGTCCACAACATGGCATTTTGCTTCTTCAAGGCCTGCGTGAGAACATCTAGTGCAACTTCAAATCTCTCTGACTTCTGTCTCTGACTCTAGATGCTCTCTTAAAAGGGCTCATCTGATTAGGTCAGGGACACCCATACTCAAGGGGAGAGGATTATATAGGGTGTGCACACCAAGGGGATATGACTCTTGGGGGCTGTCTTAGAATTCTGCCCTCCACAGATCTGTGTGTGCCTCACATCCCCCACATTAGTTTTTAGAACGCTTCATTCATGAGAGAGAGAGCTATTCCAAAAACTTTGCTGAATCCTGTAGCTTTCAAGGGAGAGAGGTTATGGAACATACTAGATATCACTTATTTATTCCTTCATCCATTCATTCAACATATATTGAGTATCTGGTATGTGCCAGGCAGTGGAAATACTAGTTAAGGCCCGTCTCTGCCTTACAGACTTTACAGTCTCAGGGTGTTCTGTATTTCTTTTGATGTTAAATTGGACAATTAGAAAAGAATCTTAAGAGAGTCAACATTATGGAATAATTAAAATGTGAACTTTTAAGTCAGATAGCCGTGAATTTGAACTTTGACTTTTCTAATTTCTAGTTATGTGAACTTGGGTAAGTGGTTTAACCACTTTGAGCTTCAGTTCTCCATCTATAAAATGGCACCTTGTTGAGAGAATTAAATAATACGTGTAAAG